ACGAACTTCAAATCTGCCAAACAACTATTTGTACAATTCACCCTGTCGTAGAAGGTCATTCGGTGGAGTCCGGTGAATTGTGATAAAAACCTCTCGGGACATAAGCTTATTTACTTTCTAGTGGATGTCACATGCCTCTGTAGGTAAGATGGCCTAAATGGAATGTGAAAGGATCAGTGCTATCAGTGTGGCCTCGTAGCTCAGCTGGTAGAGCATGCGCGTACAAAGCGTAGGTGGCGTCCATGTGTGGGTTCGAATCCCACCGAGGCTACTGAACTTTTCACAATCGACATAGAAACTTCAAATCTGCCAAACAACTATTTGTACAATTCACCCTGTCGTAGAAGGTCATTCGGTGGAGTCCGGTGAATTGTGAGAAAAACCTGTCGTGGCAGTCACTTGCCACCGAAGCTACTGAAATTTTTCATGTTTGAGGATGGATTATCCGCTTGGTGCACTTAGTGCACTCCAGCATAATTTATCGCCATATTCTGTCACAAAAAAATGAAAAACAGCATCGTAATCTCAAATGAATGTCTGACATAAAAGTTGGAAATCGGGTATCAATTGCATAGGAAATTCAAAAATGTTTCTCTTGCGTTAGTTTTTGAGCCAAAAATCGAACGATAGGCGATGACTGACACACTTCAATCAGTGGTTCAAGCATACACCAGCATCTAGGTATAGAAGTGGATACACATTTTTTAAGTTCTGGGTGTAATGGGTGAATGATGTCTGATGAAACATTTTTGCAGAAGCTATAGCAAGAGGTTAAATTTTTGTCGGTGATAGCAAGTGCCAATAAATAATACCGCTTGTGCGAAAAATAATTTTATTAGACCACCGAAGAATGTTTTTAATATTTAACTCTAAGACCCGGAAATAAAACTGAGAAGATTAAATGAGTAACAACACAAGAATACACAAAATCGATGAGTAAATAAAGTAGAAGTTTAAAAATAACGCAGGTGGGAAATAAAGAAGCACAATCGACGAATGTTTTCCAAAGTGGAATTTAAATGTGAGATCCAGGTGAGATCTTGAAAATTAGTGACACTAAGGTATTACAGCGAATGTACTGAGAGAACACGCTAGTTGTCAACATGGAATACATAAGAATTCCTCTCAAAAGAATATAGCTGTTCTCCTTTGGAGAGCAAGTAGGTAACATCTCTACATTTAAAGGTTTGAGAGAAATTCGGAGACGAAGACCATAAGTGTGAGGCAGATAAACTGGTTTGAAGCTATGAGAAGTGGAAATCACCGTGTAATTTGGAACTTACTGTGACATCATCAACACACTCAATGAGAAGCATATCTGAGTCGGTGGTAGGGTCAAGAATATAGAAAGAGAAAAGAAAGGGGGCCAATTTGTTCCCTGGAGCATTCCTGAGTGGGTCGGTAGGAGTCAGACGTTTTAAAAGAAATTTCGTGAATTGTGTTCTACCAGCAAAATAATCTTGGTATAAAGAGGGGGTAGTTTGGGATAATCCAGCACCTTGGAGTCCAGACAAAAGCGTTCTCCTTCAAATACAGTTAAAAGCATTACCATAGTTGAAGAGACACACAAGATATGCTGTGTGGTGCATGTCTAGGGAAAGCAAGGCGGAGTTGAACAATTGAGCAAGAACATTCAAGTTAAAACGTGTTTTGCGATAAGCAAATTGGTTGCTATCTAGAGACCCAATGTTAGGAACAATGGTAATAATTATAAAGGTTTCGAAAATTTTTAGTAAAACAGAAGTACAAGCGGTTGGTCACAATTTCCCAGCTTCTTTTTGAAACCGGTGTAACGCGCACAGGTCCCCAGCAGTCGACAATTGTTTGTTCTTGGAAGCAACGCGTAGTTTGACTTTTGTTCCACAGAGTTTATTTCATGGCACTCCAGATTTGCTTGCAATTCCGATCACAAAGTGTAAAGTTTGACAATGTTTTGGATCTCAGTCTTGATCTGCATTGACGTGTGTTTAAATTAAGCTCGAGCACGATTTTTATACGCTTGTTTCATAGTTTTTCCGAGGGTCTTCATAGTGGGAGAAGAAAATCTGGCGGGACCGATGTACATAGGAGCCATGGGGAAGCACAGGTCAAAGCAGAAGTTCAAATAGCTCGTGAGGTGTTCACACTCGACCGAAACACTTGATTCGAAAAACTGATCAAGATTTGTACGAGAGAATTTTCACAGAGAATGTTTCCTTTCATGTAGCTTTATTTCCACCGTCGGTCTAACTAGTTTGCGCTATGACAAAGGCGTTTTGAAGGAACTTGATGAGGGCATCTTTTTAAAAAGAAAAATGTTTCAATGACATGAAAACTTTAACCGTGCATCTCCCTGTGTATGTAGAACTGAATAAGACAAGTAACCCGCAGGATATTGTAGCAGTAGGTCTTTGCGATGCACATCATTGAAGGTTACCACAATGGTGCTGTTTTGCACAGCAGAACATCGGTAAATGCAAATGTGGGTTGATGGCAGTGGATTGATGAAGAAATCCTCACAAGATAAAATGGGCACTAATACCAATATCATCAATGTTTTGAACAATGGGCGGTCTGTCGTTAACCAGAAATGCATTGTCTGGACACTCATCGAGTAAACAGTGCCTTTAATGACTATCTAGGATACTGCATGTGGTAAACATCAAATGCGTTGCCTCCCAGTGTCATCCCGGACAGTTATGGGTCTACTCAATGAGGTGTTTTCTGCTCGTTACGTCATGCACCTGAATGCTTGCTCGGTTAAAGAATGTTTGAGGGAAATTTAGCTCCGTATTACTTGCATGAAAGATTCAAATCAAACTGCTGAAAATCGGTCGGTCCAAAATGTCTAACATCCTCCGACCAATGGATCCAACTATAGATGTCAAACACGGCTTGGTACTCTCCTAACAGCTCCATATATTACTGGTCAAAGTTACAAACATTATTTTCCACAAAAGCAACGCAGTATACATAGCACTCCTCACAACTGAGCAGGCACGTGAACCTTGAGAAGTGCAAGAAATTGTTGTACGCGTCATCTGCAATATAAACCACAATATTGCAGGCCCCAGATACCTTCCTATCAATAAAAAAGGAGACTCGGGTTAAACACAGCCCGCATCTAAATGCGATTTGTGCTGCTTTAGCTGGTACAGAAAAATGGTAATGTGTGAACAAATTAATTGATCGATCGATCGGTCAATCGACTGACTGGTTGTTTGAATGCTGCCCTGACGGCATAAGCGTGTAGTGTAACGTGTGAGCCGGTGTCGGCCTGTCTGCCTGCCTTCCTACACGCTAATCGTTTCCACTNTCCATGGTTTGTCAACCGGCTACATATTTGATGTTTACAATAAACGCACTGCTTAATTCGTTGTGTGCTCTATGATTAGTCTGTGTTTTGATGAAATCGATATCAAAATCTCAATGGAAACTTCTACGACAGACCACTTATCCTATTAGCCAACAAACTTGTTCAAAAACTGTCAACCGCCAGTTAGGGAACATCTTGTGGGAATGTGGTTGACTGTAAAGGACTAATCGTGTAAATATTGCAAATATTGCATGTGTGTAGGAAATCGTGAATTTAAGGGTTTAGAACTCATAATTATGGTTGGGTATTAGGATCTTGGAGATGTTTCGCCATGGCTTCAGCTTTACTGCCAATAAATTTCGAAGATACGGGTTTAAAATACGAGACAACCTGACAGTCGGAGCACGGTAGGAACCATCAGGTCACGTAATCTGGATGTCCTCTATAGTCTTGTGACCTGACCTG